CCATCCCGTCTGTCGCATACACGGTCGACGGGAGAGCAGGTCCGAAACCCGCCTCTCCGGATCCTGTACGGGAGAGGGGCGAATAGGTTTTTGGGAAGCGACTACGCGACTGCTCGATGTTCGTCTATTTTCTCTATGTATGCGTCGCACTCATCATCATCATGTCCACCGACGCCGAACGTGCCGCCGCCGAGAAACTTGAAGCCGACAAGAAGGACGTTGAGGACGCCACTGTTGCCACTGCCGCCGCGGCTTCTGCCTGGCCTACTGGAGGGTATAACACGCTTATCCCGCTTCTGTTTATATTCGTATTAGCAGTACTAGCAGTATGTGTAGATGTGTCTACTATTTGCTTAGTACGTGTATGTTTAGATTAGAATCAGTATGTCGTTAATTCAGTCGATGTCATGTTAGTGATTTATCTACGGATTAAATTAATCAAAAAATTATCTATTTACTCAAGAGTTGCTACACTCGTCGCAAAATAAGAGCTACGAGGGGTCGTGCTCGAGCAGGAAGCAGGGAACGCTACGTTCCAGTATACACAATCGTTGCAGCTTGCAGGGATAGGCGGGGATGGAAGCGATGGCTAAATCCTCTCCAGAATCAAGCGGCTACAATTGAATTACGTCTAGCAGCCCCCAATCTAAGGCCTCGTTCAGTTTGGAGAAAACCAAAAGGTAGGAGTTTATAGTAATATAGAAATTTGATAGAATGACACTTGAAATTAATTTGCCTTGTTTTTATGCCTAAAATGAGTTTTAAATGAATGTGTAGTTTTCTCAAAAACACAAAAAAAATGAATATTATTTCTATGAAATTCGTGTATGCATTTTTTACGAACTGGATGCATATGTAGGAAATTTTCCTTTAGAATCTTTGTTCCTATAAAATCCTCCAAACCAAATGAGGCCCAGACTAGTCATAAGTATTTATTGAGAAACTTAGTAAGAAAACCGATCGATTTTGTAGCACCCAAGGACTATGACAGGAAACCTGGAATTGAACTTAGAATGTGATAACTTTTTTTTTTGCAATTCAGTCCTTACCGCGGCCACATTCTAAAGGTTTGTAGTACAAAGGAA